AATCAAAGAAAGTCACTTAGTCTGAAAATGCGTGCGTGGAGTATAAACTTTTGAGCTAAAAAGACGTTTCCTGTATTGTGAAGAAAGATAGAACACTTATTATGCAAATAAAGTTTTAGATTTGTTTTCTGTGAACTTACTTATTATGATTACTTTGTTTTTTTTTTCTTATTTATATAATCGATTTTGTTTGTTTTATTGTCATCAGATATTCTACTAATTTTAATTAATAAGAAATTTTTTTAATGATGTATATGATCATTTTCATGCAAGAGTTTTCAACGTGAAAGAAATCTTTCGAAGATATTCCTATCGAATACAAATCTATTCATGCATAATTTTCATCAATACCAAACATTTACACGTCCAAAACATTACATTCCTAATCAATAGAAGTACATGTAAAAAAATTATTCTCCAAATATGCTCACATGACATAAAGGCAATATGCTGCTTGATGAATTGAAAAATTTATTAGAAACTTGTCCAGATGCATTATAAGCATAAAGTAATTTCTCAACGAATGTCTTTTTTTCAAAATCAAGCATTCTATATTTCAACATGTAACATTTTGTATTCTTTTCATATAAAAAGTGAAGATATTCCAATGTATTCTGTAAAAATACACTGTCTTATAGAGAGAAAATATAGAAACAATAATGAAATTAAATAAAGTATAGACCATAGATAACAATATAAAAAATTGAAATATGTCCACTTTGAAACACAGGAAACGCATGTGAGCCAGTTGCGGCAGGAAATGACTTAAAGTCACCGGACAAATATAATGACATTGTGGTTCGGAATACTTCTTCTACATCCCTCGCTTGTCAGTATTTTTCGGTCAAATACAATAATTTTTCTGCATTTTTCCGACTAGTACTGACGAAATCGGCTTGTTTTCAGAGGTTGGAATGGTCGGACTGGTCCGCATTCAAATAGATAAATTTTTTGATGTGTAATAAATATATATTCAAAGTTTTTTTTTCATGCAGCGAATCCAAGCAAATACTATAATTAAGTACTATTGTTGAGCTTATCAGTAAAATCACAGCTGTTGTCAAGTAAGAAAAATACATGTTCCACGCCCCAGAATGAAGATTAAGACATCTGTCAACGGGTATATGCAATCTTATATACTTATATTTTCCAACGTATACGATCATACTACTTCACTTCGGAGTTACGACCGTATCTCATCATGTCGTATACAACATACATAGTAAGCTATTATATTCATATAAGCTTCTTATAACTCAGTAGCAGAGGCACTTTCTCTCCACTTCTTCCGCCTGATAAACACATGAAATATTACTTATTTATTTCATATCAATACTTACTGCTCATTCTGCTCTTCGGATTAATCTGAATAAAGAAGAAGAAAAGAAAATTTATTAAATTTATACTTACTATTGAATTCATTGTTGAATTCAACAAGCGAAAAGCTAAATGTTTGATAAGTGCGACTTAATTCACAATTAACTTACGACCATGTGCGATTGTGCGTGATAGCCGTTTACGTTCATTATATTTGAATTTATAGTATATGAACTGATTCCATCTTATAATTCTGGAAGATAAAATAAAAGATGATGAAAAAATGAGTTCCAACATGGATCGAATAAAACAATATTCTCATGATTAGTAACAACAGTTACATCGTGTTTCACATTTCAATCCAACAGGGATTGCGCTAACAGCTTTCCACCTGGCATTCCAAGGTCATTTTCAGTTGTCATCTAAGCGAATAAAAGAATCGATTACAATCAACTTTATAAACTATATTACGTTAATGCAAAAAACCGTATTCTATATCTGAAAATTTTCTCTATGTATATCAATGTAATCTCATTCATAAAGCTTGTTGTGACTTTTTATTATCTTAGATGACAAATGAAAACTATCTTCGAATACTACACATGTTTTTTCTTACTTAACAACTGGTAAGATTTCCTTAGTGAATTCAAAAATAGTACTTAATAGTAGTATTTGTTTACATTATTCGCATCAAACAGACTTTGAATAAACTTTGATAACTAATCAAAAAGTCACCTTATCCAAATAAATGGAATTGGAGAAATTTAATTTTTCATCGTAGTGTTATTTATCACCCACTTCGTATATTACTATTTCATTTCTATGCACATATCAAGTTTGAATTTATGTTTACATCCAAAACGTATTTCAAGAATATATCTAGCACACATTTGTATACTCGGAAGTACAAATCAAAACATTTATCTTTCTGACATAGTTTTTGTCTTTACATGACTATTTTATTCTTCGAAGAAAAGTTTTAATAATAACAATGGTTTTTTTTTCATTTTTTATTTGTTGATTGGTTCTACAGATGCATTGACAGTTATTTCATTATTTTCCATACGATGATGAGGAATTAAAGCAGTTTCTGTTAGTGTAATTTGATGCCTTCCACAATAAATCAATAATAAACGAAAAAAATCAATTAATTCTTTACGAAATGTACGAGATGTAAGTGTATACAAATAAAATGATGTAACTGGAAACAAATATAACATCAATTCCGCTAGAAAATTAAGAAATGATTCAAAAGCTAATTCATCATTCGACCGATAAGGAGTAATTATTAAGATTGTATTAAATACTAAATTACATAATTGAGGAGTTGTAAATATAATATAACAAATAATTTGCACGAATAATATATGAAGAACTTGTTGATCAAGTCGATTTCGTTGATAATCACCTAATGATA